GAAACAGCTTATCGATCGCTATACGCGTCGCTTGACATCGACGCGTTCTCTTACTCTGTAATTACGCTTATTTGACGCGTCGTTTTCGGATGCGTCTAGTTATTGAAAATGATATTCGCACAGGAATTCACCGTTTAAATATTTAAAGATCGCATTTTACGTATCGATAAATCAGGATTTGCTTAAATTTTACCAATTTTTTAAATAATAATTTGATTATAATGTCACAGAAATGAAAGACAATTTTATCGCGCGACTAGTCGCGATGAGGACAATGTATACACGACATTTAAATTTAAGTATAAGTGCGAATATACTTTAAATTCGTACCTTTATGAAACTAATTTATCATTATTTTCTGGATTTTTCAGGAGAATTTTTTTCTATATATAACTTAAATTGGATGCAGATGAGAATAGCGATGCGGAAACTGGATTAATAACAGCGCTATGGGCAATAATAATTGAATACTGTTACTAAATACCTACTCCAAAATCATCGATGGAGCATTATCGCGTGGCTCTTCACATTATTTAGCGATCAGCTTTCAATTAAGAAGCGATTTATTACACTATCTTACAAGTCGTTTTGCAAGAAAAAAGAAAAACACATTGCGCGATTTTAATTGATAGGCATATAAAAAAATTACTTAAAGATTACTTATTAAAATAATATTTCGAGGCTCTCATCGCGCAATATAACGTGACGGAAGCGTTAAATATTGGCGCGATCCGAACGCGATAACTTTTGGCTTCCGAATTCAAAATGGCTGCCGAGTATCCGGCTTACGACACACTAAAATATACGTTAGACTAACATTAACGTAAGAACGCATTATCCGTCGCATAAAAGCGCGAAGTGTATCGATCGCTGCAAACACACACACACACACACAACACACGACCATCCTCCTACTTCATTACTTAAATTTAACGCGCTAACGTCGCGTTACTAATCTGTTAATAATTCATTTCGTCATTAAAATTTTTAATCCCTCATCTATTAAAACTCGACCAAACGTAAAAGCATTAATAAACCGATAGAACGATTTAAAAGAAAAAAAAAATTATATATCGAACAAAATCGCCATGAATTTATCTAATTAATTAACCAAAAAACAAGAGAGAAAATGTGTAATAAAAATAATGAAACAATTAAAAAAATACTAATTCGAAACGTGTCACGTGACTATGGTGATGCTAAATCAGGTAACGTCGACAATGTTTCCCTACTTTTTTAAGCTGGTGGTTGGCAGCACTACAGAGTGGCAGCTTCAACAAAAAAGGCACCTCGGAGCCTTCTCCTTCGTTAAATTAACAAATAAGTTGGTCAGAAGGAAATTCTTATCGTCTATTCAGTCGAGTTACTTGATAAAATTTACCAGTCAATAACCCTATCCGGTTTTTTGGCGCCCGGTTACGACTCCGGAGAAACGAAGCAGGTGCGCGGGGTCAAAAGGTCAAAGAGAAACACGAATGAGCGCTTAATTTCTGTTGTCTAAAGAGCAGAATAACCCTTTACCTACAGCCAAACCTGGCATACAGAGCAGTAAACCGAGTTCATACGAAGTAGCACAGTTACAATTTAGTTAGAAGATAAGAAGAAAATACACCTATATAGAGCCGAAATTCTGGTAAACAATGCAACGAAAACAGCATAGAACTTTAGATAAAGGATTGCATATACAATAAACCATTTTTCATGCAGACAAAAGCTGGTATATATATATCGAATGGGATGCTTCGTACCGGAGACGAGAGTATCTACACGTATCTAGTGTTTACTAGTAAATACTACAATGAATATGGAGATAGAAGAGCAGGTGTGCATCAGTCCAACAAAAGACAGTAGACAATTTACCGATACAAACTGAAAGAACATATATAAGAGCAGCTGAAGTGGACGAATTTGTCGCTTAGCTTTGAATAGAACACAAAAAGCGCTTCACTACAGCCATAAAAGCGCGTTAAATGCTCCAAAAATGGCGGCGATAATTTGTTCTTTCACCATCCGAAAATAATCGAAAGTGAAATTCCTTAATTCGTTGTTTTCTCTTCGAAAATACTAGATGTTTAGAAAACATTACAGATCCTGTCATAGACAGCTGAAGTTAGCGAAGCGACAACTTGTTTGTTGTTAATCGAAACCCCCTTCTTCTCATTAACGCCTCCATAGCCAGAGGGATTTCAATTAGTTCGTTGTGTCACCAACAGCAAACGCCATATATTTTTTTCTCCTTTTTTTAACAATCTCCTCCTCCTCCTACTACTACTGCTACTTCCAATTAAACACTTGTTCCAATTTTAAATTAAGCATCTTAAGTGGAAAATAAATTAGTACAGTTCGCGATAAGTCATCTAATTCAATTCTTTTTATAGGAAATGATTTATAAAATTTTTGTTACGGTAACAGTATCTTTACGATGCTGCTACAGTAACAGATGGTGAGCGAAGATTTCGCATCCCATCTGTTTATGCTGTACTTATTCTTAACATGCAAAAACTCCTTCCTCTAAGGGCTCATAACATTAAAAAAATAACAAGAAATCCTTTTTCTTGCAGCCATTTCGATTTTCCTGCTGACTCGGAATAAAGGGTTGCGATAAACTCTACAAAACTTATCGAATGTTCTAAAAACGGGAAGAGAAAACGTCACGTTTCTAGCATATTGGAAACTTTTAGCAGGATATTTAAAGACTGCAAATCATTTAATTTCAGAAAATGTCTATTAAAGTAAGTACCAAGTAAAATCAAAGTAGAAGTACTCTCAGAGTCAATTGAGTTATCGAACAAGCACAATAAAGAGACTGTAGTCTCTAGATAGCTGTTACAACTAAACGTGAACCAATCTGTATTCTCCTAACAGCATTTCTCAGTAAAACAACCCTTCTCGCTAACTATATTTGGTACCAAATAAGCCAACCTGTGTAACCTCTTTCAAATCTATGGCCCCTTTGACACCTTTCAAAAGTTGTCCAACTTTTAAAAAACTTTTCCAAAAATACATTTAATCTCCAGAAAAATCAAGTATTTTTCAAGTTTTGGAAGTCTAACTCTAGATTAATGTGATCCTACAATTATTATTTAAACAGATTATTTCTTAATTAAGAGTATATAAACGTCTACATTATTGTTATAAAGTATTATAAAATATATGACATTTGTATTTAAGCCAGCGTGCATCTTAAATTAAAGCATAAATTATAGATTTATACCGTAATAATTTATTTAAAAATTACTTCCTTATTAAACTTCTTTCTGAAATTTATAAATACATTGTTTAATTTTTAATATAAAATCTTTTCAAAAGTTATAGATGACAGTTAAAACTATTCAGAAAATTTTACATTATTTAGTGTCTACGTATCTGAGGAAAATTCTAAATTATAATCTCTAGAATTTTATCATTGTAATGGACTAATTAAAATTAGCTTACAGATTCTAAGGATAAATTATAGATTACAATTGTAAGTTTTGTAATCTACAACTTTCGTTATCGAATCTAGAATATTTTAAATCGAATTTTTGTAGATTTTTCCAGAAATTTAGCGCTTTGAATTTGCAGGAAAAAATGCAATCACGATAATCCCGGTATCCTTACTTTAATCTACAACACTTTTTTAAATGTGCATCATCACAGATAATCAACATTCTGCTGGCACCAAAACTTGGAAATCCTCAACTTGCGAGTTAGTAAAATTAAGAAAGGTTTCTATTTTAGGAAATCTTTGTTTAACACGCTAACCCCTTAAATGTGACCCTGGAGAAATCGAAGCGTTACCAAGGCAACCATCACCTATTCCAAGGAGCCAGGTTCACGTGACTTCAGCGTGGACAGTATGACAGAAGGCAGAAGCTGGTTCTCTTATTGTTTGAAGGTAATTCCGTCTAAATTACCTTCATTTAAATAGTTAATTTATTAGAGCTTCTACTAAACGAGCCATCTTCTTATTAACTTCTCCGTTTTATTAAAGAAAAGAACACTAGCTCTTTGTATCGCGCTGCCTTTTAATTGCTATAACGAGATATTTTTAATTTTTGGAAAGTAGAAAAAAAAAATTTTTCTCACGAATTTACGAGTGTAATTTGGTAAGGGTATAAGCTTGTTAGAGTTACAAAATTTCCTACGTAACGTTAAAGTGCACAGTTTCCTGTAGTGCCCCAAGGCAGTGGAGAAGTAGACATCTGCACACTGAAGCATCGTATGTCCTCCTTTCTCTGATATGCCCGAAGGTGTGTGGCTAGATTCTGTACCTGCATGCATGCCTCTTGTATCTACGTCTATCCACATAAGGATACGCAGATAAAAGAAACGTATCCACGCTAATTTAACATCTCTTACCGAGCTTATTCTTCGGTAACAGAGATTAAATTATTAAACTATTACTGAGGAATCACCTCCTTAAAACTAGAAATTAAAGCATCTTGCTTGTTTCCTAATATAATTTTCCGCTTTGTAGAATATTCGGACATACGAATTGACCTTTTACATCGTATTAAATTGCTAAACTTCCACAGAAATTCGGCCCGAAGCGGCGAATTTCTTCGACGTTAAATTCTGTTAGTTCACGCTTCATTTATACTTATAAACTGCCTAAAATCCATTTTTAAAGCAGTCTAAAGAGTTTCAATCTTTATAAAAGTTAAAAATCGTGTCTCATACATCCACTTAAGCCATAAAACCGGCTCTACTGCAATTTAACCAACAAAAAAAAATAAATAGAAATAAAAAAACCACACACATACACACACACATGATCATGAGGTAGATTCTGGTCGAAGCAAAGGTGCATTAAATAAGCGATCGTTACTTCGGCACTTCAGAATCTCATATTCATGATATTCGGGTAGTGAGATCGATATTTCTCTCCTAACAAATTTTCAAAGAGAATTTCTTTGATGAAGTTCGAAAATATACAGATATCTTTGATTTCTTGTCACGTTTGGCGAGGTACACACTACGTGATTAAGTAGGAGAAGCAAGTTTAGATATACACTTACCTTAGCTTGAGTGCTTCTCAGTAAGACAAAGGTAGCAGCCAGTAATAATAGAAGGGCAGGCCTTGGTAGCAGCATTTCCACCTAAATAACAGAATAAAAAAGATAATTTTACATATTAACGTCTTCAAAGAGGAAAAAAAACCTATATAAACTATAAAGAAATGTAACAAAACATTTAAAATTTGGTGGTATTTTTGAACGTAATTCGCATATCGAAAATGGCGCGTGTGAATTGAATTAAATTAATTTTACATAATTTAAAATTTTACAGCGAAGTTAACTCGATTATAAAAGTTTTTGAAATTTTTAAAATAAGTAAATTTAGACAAAATATATAGCGTTGATGTTAACAATGCTTTTTTATTCAAATTTCAAACTTAGTTCCGATGATAAAGATATCTTATTGAGAAATGTGTTGGAATGTAGTAGGAGGATGGTGTCGACACGTAATTTATTCGCCTAGCGTACATCGTTTTATTTTAAAAGGTACACTTTGTTGAATGCTTCGTGTATAAACGGATGCTAATATTCGATTCCGGTCGTGTGCTTTCTTCTATAGCATGCTAAAAACTGAATTTTTGAGCTTGTTGCCTTCGTATCGATCCAACTTCTGTTAGAAAAATAAAGGGAAGGGAAAAAAACAAGAGTTTTTGTAAAAAAAATAAATGCGGGGGTTCGACTGTTTTGCTGCTGCACAAATAATATATAACTAAACGTGTTTCTGTATATTTTAATATAAAATGTAGGCCACAAAACAGCAAATGTATCAAATTTTGCTATTATACTAATAAAAAAGATGCAAAATGCCTATCTTTCCAAATGAGCATAACCAACTTACGTATAGCCTAACTATTAACCACTTGTATAAGTAAGTTATACAAAATTTCAAATTCGTGTCTCTTAGATCTTAAGATAGAAAAGCATTACAATTGCTGACAGACATGGACAAATTTTAATAAAAGTATAGAAAACTTACACTACATAAAAGTAAGAATTCGTATATAAAATTTCAGTTAAATAGCTAATACGGTTTAATAGATACACCGCTGACAGACGGAAGAAGTTCAAACCTTATCGCTTTTCAAATCGATTAATAAAATAAGATATTCGATATATGGCACGAAATATTGGAGTTTAAAAGGAAACTTAACGTTAAAAAAATACGTTTACTAGTCAGGAAAGCGAAAGAAGTCAAGTTCAATAAATGTGTTATTTTTTCTACGAGTCATCTTCAATAAAGCAAAGATGTATGAGAATAGAAACTGTTAACACGGCGACTTCTAAACTGTGGAACAGGTTTTTAATAATATTTCGAAACGTCGTCGAAAGTTGAGTGACATGACAGTAGTAATGACACTCCGACACGCCAGCCAAATAATATTATGTCATTAGTTCTTTCCTCCAGCTACAATTTTGTCTGACGTACAAAAGATACCTGTAGGGCAAAGATCGGGAAGGTGCACTACTGCAGACAGATAGGTGGTCAAGATCCAGCAGCTGTAAGTTAATTAGTCTGCTTTAGATAGATTTTTTCCCTCTCTCTCTTTCCTGAGAAGAAACCTTCCGGCAACGCGCCTTAAGCTAACTTGAAAAAGAAGATTTATAATAAACTTCCTCCTTTCGAGCTATAATAGAAAGAGAAATCCGTAACGGTGTAGTTATAAGAAGTGAATTGTGAATAAAAACAATAGTTAGAATGATTGAATAAGTGTAAGATTAAAAGAAAATAAGTAGTTCTTTGAGTTATACGTAAGATTTAACGTTTTAAAGATTTTAGAGAAAACCTTTGTTCGATTGGGTAAAGAAAAATGTAGGCGTAACATCTCCGCCTATTTATGACTATTTTTATGTTTCCAACCAATTATAGTTAAAATCGTTGTTTTCAACGTAAATTATACTACATATTAATCAGAGGACAGAAAATACGTAAATATAAAACTTTTTAAATTAATTTTTCTTTGTATTTTGTTGTCAAAACACGATTTGTAGTTTAAATGCTGTCAGTGTTTAAAATTAATATTTTATAATAAGTTTCAGTACAAAAAATCCAAAATATTAAGGACTAGCATACAAATCAGTGGGCTCGAATCCAAAATTTTTCAAGCACTATCGTCCAAAATCCAATTAAAGAGTGGCTTTATCTAGTAACTTGGCTATCAGGCGTTGATCCGAACTTGATAACAACATCAAAAAAAAAAACTTTCTAATTTGATCGTGGCTCGCATCGAACTCTTCCGAAAAAAAAGCATCATAGTAAACAATTTTTACAACCCTCTCCCCGACAGAGTTACTTATAAAATGGCCCACTAAACCGATATTCAATTTGGCAAGAGCGCAACAGAAACTAGAAGTTCAGACAGTAAGGGGATAAGAAAGGAGGTAAAAAAGAAAAGAAAAGGAAATTCCGCTTCTTATTCTCTTACTCTTTTGTTTCTAGCTCGTTTTCTCTTTTCTCTTGCAACATATTCCATGTCAGTATTAGTGGGATGGAACTTGCTTCACTCGTAAACACGTAAAAGGCGTGCACTTGACCATCTGCCGGAGTGAAAAATTACGTAAAGAGACGAAGGGCACAAGGTTGAATAAACAAAAGCAGAAAAAAAAGGAAAGATAAAATTCCCTATTTCCGAAACAAGATTAGCTTCAGAATAGTACAATATATTTTACGACCTTCTAAACCAGAATATAGAAGTAGTGGATAGGTTGACGCCCATTTTTATGTACATAATCAACTACAAGAGAGGAAGGATTTAAATCCTTTGAACTTAATGAAAATTTTCTTCGTGAACAGTACTTTCGTGTTGCTTTTACAAATATCATTCTCTAAAGAAATCATTAAAATGATAGGACCACCAAAAAAATTCGTTTAAGAACGAATAGGAGAACGACACAAGTGGGTTCATCACGCAAGAGATCTTCATCAGAATGATTATTTGTTTATAATTCTTCGCTGATAACATCGACTGGCTATCCACTTATCTGTATGTAATCAATTTTTGGCCGTCGGAAAGATTTGATAAACCGTAATGAGTGTTCTCACTAGGATAATTAATTTGCATTTTTAAATATACGATATAAATGGTTTCGGTGGAAGAGGATGAGGAAATTTTTATAAGATAACACACCCGCTATGGGGATTTTTGCTGGTTTACATGCAGGATGAAGTTTAAATTTTATTTTATCTGCTTTATTTTCCTGTTAAAACTGGGATAATTAATGAAATTGTTAGAGATTTTCATCAAATATCCACCTTTAGAAAACAAAACAGGGAATTTTTATAAGGTTAATACATCGACTATAAGGATTTTTATTCCAAACCTCATATTGCTCCTTCAGTTTTATTTTCCTATTAAAAACGGGAGTAGACGACGAAAATCTTATTAGTTATTCTAAAATTACTTTAATTGAAGCGTGTTTCTACGCGTAAAAGAAATTTCAAAATTATTTTAAATGTTTAAAAAATAAATTTACAATGGCATTAAAATGCCTAACTTGTTCAGAATCACTTTAAGAATATTTATTTTCGCATAAAATTCTTTTCAAAAATTCTTCCAAGAGGATTTGTTGAAAGAAACCATCCAGAAGGATCCCTGCAAAATACCTAACAATTTCGAATATCTTTAAATATATCCCTCCGTGGAGCTTTTATTACAAGAAAAAAAATTCTCTAAAAATGATTGTCGCAATAAAAAATAATAAAAAAAAACTTTGTTTCAAAAGTCGCTATAAAAATTGATTCGCAAAATATGCCTATTTTATTTTTCTTGCTCGTAAGTCTAATGGGGATTTTTCTCGAATGCTTAATAATTTTTTAATCAAAATATTATTATTTAAATACTAAACAATTTTTAAAAATTTTTAAATGCTATTTTACAATTCAATTTTTAAAAATATAAATTTCTTCCTCCAAAATTCGCTTTAAAAATTATCCATTAAAAACATTTTTTTAAAAAATCCCTAAATATATTTAATAAAAAAAATGAGTAAATAAAATATATTTATAAGCGAAAACACAATTTTTTTTATTAACTCTCGACAACGAGGAATGCCTCCTCCATACCGCCGAAGACACCTTTAATAAGAATGAAGATCGGTGAAGAACTTTTAAAACATGATAAAATAAGTTTTTAAAGGTATTCTAAAAATAGAAAGAGGTGATCGTAACATAGAGAAAGAGAATCTAAAACAGGAGAAAGGACATCTTACACAATGGTGAAAGATTGAAGAGGCAGTAAGGCCTCAAAGATTCACGGATAAAGAAAGAAAACGCATCAATAGTTATAACCACCTCTCGGCAACGATATAACGATTTTAAATTTAGAATATCCTCTCGTTTTAACTAAAATAATCTTTAAAGAAATGAAAAAATAAATAAAATAAAAAATCGTAATTACGCTTCTGTTACCACGCTTGCAAGAGACAACCCAGTAGATAAAGAGCACGTTTTCGGTATCAAAAAATGCAATTTTGTATACATACATTAAGCGTCGAGGGAGTTTAAGATGCTTATTTCTTTCTTATTTAAAGGTTTCAATATGAGAAAACACGGCTTAAGGCAGAGAAAGGGTTATAACATCAAAAAGACCATCAGCGAAACTAAACAAACAACGATGTAATAATAATCTCACGTGACATAAACCAATATATCCGAAGCAAATAAAGTAGATATGATATTAATGAATAGAAAAGCGTAAACTTTTCCAATATTTTTTTCGATTTATGTGACATTTTAACAGTAAAAAACAAACAAAAAAATTATATAGCCTATATATGTTTGTATATATATATATATATACACAAACATATATAAACACACACACACACACAATAAAACAGGAGCAATACCAGAAGCGATTAATATTTAACTTTAAAAACAAAAAAAAAAAGAAACGGGGGAAAAAACTGTAGAGAATTCTATATCTACGACAAAACGCTGTAAATTATTCGTGTATCTAATACATAGTGTATAATGTGTACAGTTTTAGTACATTTGGCGAGCGTTAGCTTGCACGAAGGACAAAAGAATCGATATGTCAAAAACATATTTCTGCATTTGCTACCGAGGCAGAGTGAAAAATTTAATGATGCCTTATTTGCTGATTTTCCGTAGATTTCGGTTATGTCTTTGGTGACCTGTCACGTGATCCACCTTTTGAAATATTCGCTAACATCCGCCGACGCTTAACGTGTTGTTTTTGTCGAAAAAAAACCAACCGCCGCCTCCTCCCGCGGTGTAATTTTGGTGAACTAAACGAGAAAATGTATCCATGCCCATGCTAATAATCAACCAAACTTAATTATTATTCACCGGTATCGTTATAACTCGGATTGAATCAACAAAAAATAAAATATAAAGCTGCATACATATATATATATAATCGGCCGATACAAGATTTAGAATATATAATAGATGCACCGTTTAATCTATAATATAAAACGGTTTTTTCTTCATTTTTAATTTGTTACTATTGTAGTAGTAGTAGTAGACAACATTGACCAATTTTTATTGCTATTTTCGTAGGATGGATTGTATAAGAATCGATACTGCTGCGCGCCCGACATGATAAAATTTTTAGCATAATTTTTTTTTCTTGTGTTCCAAACGAATTAAAATGTCGAGAACACAATACACAGTCGATAACAGAGTAAAAATCTATCATTTCGCCTTTCTTTCCTGCTTGCAGATCGATAAATTTCCGAAGGAGAACGAGAGAAACAGTGAGAGAGCAATCAAATAGGATCGTGTTCGGTGCGCTTGTATTTACCACTTAAGTTGAATGCTACACTGTAACTTATCGCGAATATATTAAATTATGATATAAAAATACTACTTAATGATAAAATTGAATTTATAAAATGTTATTATACCACGTTTAAACGAGAAAACTCTCTCTTCTCTCATGGCGCTTAGACTGACAGCTCTATTACCTTTCGCGTGACAGGTTTAGTTGTTAGTTTACGTAAAAGCTTTAACTTAAGTTATTTAAGTAATTAATAATCTATGAAAGATTTTGTTATGTACGAAGATTGTATCTCACCTGTTTATGGTTTAATAATCCCGAAGAAAGCTCTCAATCCGGAGACATGAAAGAGGATGCACAGTGTTGCCACAATGCTGCAGTGTTTATAATAGACAGCAGAGGACGCTACGATTTGTTTCTTTAATTATCTAAGTCGTCTCTAGATGGCGGTAAAATGCGGCTTTATATCTATATATATATATATATACTGTATATAGTTTACTTTTAGTTTTAATTTTTAAACTAGATAAAATTTATATAGAATATATACGAAAATCATTGATTTTAAAAGTTAAATTAATGAGAAAAAACACTCAATTTATTACTAAAATTAATAAAAATAACTTAACATTTAGCCGTAATAAACCGTACGTTAATCGAAAATGACGTCATCCGTTACGTCAAATTTAAGAACTAATACGTAATATTTTAAGCTGAAGGTTGCAGATTATGAAGCGAATTTGATACAGAAGTAATAACATTTAATATTTGTATAAATTATTTTAAATAAAAATAAGAATATATTCACGATTTGACGTCATTTTAATTGAGAGGTAGATTCTGAAATAAATAAATCAACATCATTAATGTGATAAATTGTTATCATTATCGTTTTAATATATAATTTCCATTTTAAAATATTAATTTAAAATCTATATGTGAAATATTCGTATTCTACATAAATTTTAAAAAATTATAAAACTATCAAATAATTTAAATTTTAAAAATTACGAAAACATTTTAAACATTAAAAAAAGCAAAATTTTATAAATTAGTTAAATTTTTTAAATTAAAGTTTATAAAATATTTGCGAATACAGTATTTCGCTATTTTTTCCCCCTATTCATTTTATAAATTAGCACAAATCACGTGACGTGCTACGATTAAATTTTTAAAATTTTAAATTTAATCATACAGGTGACAAATTCTTATAAAATATTTTAAATTTTCATAACAATCATTTATAAAAGAGCACTTAACAAATTGAACATCTTCTAGGCTCTTTACGTAATTTGTCACATGATTGATAACAAAACTGGAAAGCGATGAAAATTATTTTTGAATCACGACACCTCTATCTGTAACTTAAATTTATTACAGTGTTTCGAAGATTTTTAAAATAATCTGTAAAACTGAATTAATAATTTTTTTAAATTTCATTTTATTTTGAATTGAAACTTTTAAAAATTTTATTCGGTAGATGACGCTAGCATCTTTTTTTTGTTGTTTGTTTTTTAAATTTTGACGCCATCTTGTGACTAATCTTTATTTACGCAAAGTTCGAAAGCAAACCAAAGATTTATGATTTTAATATGATTTATTTAATAATTTAAATCTTTAATTATATTTTGTAAATTTTTTATTAATTTTATTATCGATTTATTTAATTGTTTAAATTGTTTCCAAAACAAATGGGAATCGTTCCGCGCTATAAAACAAATTATCAAAACATTAAGTTCTTTCATTCAATTTGGCTTTTATTTTTTCATGTTATTAATTTTTATGTTCAGTTAAGGCCTTCGAGCTTTTAGTTACCGTTGAAATATTAAAAATAAAATGCAGATTAGATTTAGAATTATGAAATAACACGCTCAGTTTTCTCTTTGCAAACGGGCAACATTATGTTGCTTGTATTTCTGAAGGATCCGGGTTCGGGTACAGTCCGAGTTTGATGTTTCTGGAGTATTATTTGTGAAATGCTTCAAAACATAAAGAATATTTGATCACTTCTGATTTCAGTTCTATAACTAAAACACAAATTCTTAAATTTTGAGAATTAAAACTAATGCGTAAAATATTTCGGTAATTTCATAAGATTCGGTGCTTACATTTTATTTATTTGCCGTTTTCATATAAAATTTTAAATTATGCAATCAGGATTATAGGCTAAACTCGTTCTGCTCTGTGTGCACTGACTCGTAAAAGATTATTTTTTGCAAGCTCATTGTGAATTTGGCCAAGCCATAATAGAGCGACTGGATTGTGAGAGACGGGGTCAGAGCCGGCCCTACCACAGGGCGAACGGAGCAGCCGATCCAGGCGCTAAGTCCTAGGGGGTGCCTCAGGGGTAAAGAAAATTAAAGGAAAAATTATTTTTTTCACTTTTCGATATTTTAATTGCAAGCGTGTGGCCAGTATGTGAATGGCCTTATCTGTTGAGACACGCGTGGGTCGAGTGCGTGGGCGGGGGTTCCACCTCCTGACGCCATAATAGGATCTTGCTCCATCCTAAAACTTGCCTCAGGACGGCACTGGATGGGGTCCTACATTTTCGGGCTGACCATCCCCAAAATTTTCTGAGGTTTTTCAAGAACCCGGATTCTATTCCTGGTCCTCCATAGCGGTAGGCTAGCACCGCTTAACCGCTCGGCAGCCGGCCATCACGTGAAGTTACGGTATAGAGAACTCGTACTTAAAAACTGATCAACTATTTGATGGAAGGAAAAGATTTCTAAGTTGTTAAAGCTTACGATCAGAAATGAAATAATCATTTCAAATCACTCTTCCTTTTCAACTGAAAGACAGAGGCGAGAAAGAGCAAATTCGTTTCTGGCAACAAATTACTCTCCACGAACACTCATTCTTCCTCTTCTTAACAAACAGGCACGGAGATATTTAATCGAGTTCGGTATATCCTTTGTTTGTTTCCCTATTCATAAATCTAACGAATAAATTAAATACTAATAATTTTAAAAATTTTATCTAAAGTTATGGAGGAAAAAGGATAAAATTATAGTTCAGTATCCAGATTCGAATTCTCTGTTCCTTCTAATAGATGATTCTTTTCGTGTCATCGGATTCTTCGTTGGTTTGCAAAGTAATTTTATCCAGTTTCTTCGACTTGAATGGAACTAAAATTAGCGCAATTAGTTGAAAATGGAAATTAAGCAAGTGGCTTTAATCTAGAATTTCTATCAGTCACGCAATAAATCTTCATATAAAAAATTGCTGGATAATTTACTCAAAATTTCAAAATTCGATTTAATATTCTATAATTATATATTACAAATATAGAATATTAAATCTAATTTTTCATGGATTAGAATCGCGAAAAAGATAAAATTATCATACAGTACCTTACTGTCAGAAACTACCGATTAACTTCTTATTAATGGCCGTTTATAATTGTCAATAGCCGTTATATCTTGATTATGAATATAAGTGTATAAAACTAAAGATCTGTGGGGTCAATATCTTTTGTTTTAAGTAAAATTCACGGGGATTTCCGAACACGTCATAAGATCGATTATCCAAGTTAGTGAATTACCGCTTCTTTGTCAATATATTTAGTTCATAACCGGCAATTTGGCGAACCAACTAGGCATATCGGAAGAGGAACACGCACCGAAATTTCAGTATTAAATCGAGTCTTAATAATTGAAACTATGTTCGAATCTAAATTCAAATATAGATATATTGTACTGTATATGCCTAAGAAAGCGATATAAGCGTGATATATAGGCCTATTACGTACTCGCAATTCATTATCTATTTATTTATTTTTATAAATATTTTCTCCGTCAGTTAAACGTTAAAATATAAATTAATTTAATTATAGAATTACGTAACGTGATAAATTTACGAACGAATTAATAGAGATCGAAAGGCGACCATTGTTTAAAAAAATTCAACTAAACGTTGTACCTGTGACGCATGCGCAGTGTTTAAATGCCTCCAGGTATGTCGCTACGTTTCCAGGTGTGGTCACCTGTCCGAATTTTATACTTTTTACAGGTAATTTAAGTATTTATAACGTGATCCGAATCTCGAGACATGGCCAGAAAGTTTTCGGAAGTTAGAATAGGTGCTTATGTTATAGCAACGATTTGTTTAATATTGATTTTTTTGGCATTTACCACGCCTAACTGGTTATCGTCCGATAGAAGAGCTTACGGTGCAGAATTTGTCAAACTGGGCCTATGGGAGACATGTTTTCGTAGTTACGCCAGTGGCTTTGACTTAAATAAATCGAAATATTACGTAGGATGCCGTTGGATACTTGCCGATGAATATCAGAAACTTCGAAAAGAATTGGAGCCGCCTTTCTTCGTAGCAGTTCAAGTTTTCTTCACTTTCGGATTCGTAGCAACCGTTACGGGTTCTATACTGATTCTAGTCCTTCATCTCTGTTTGGATCGTCGAAAAGATAAACTCGTCATATCCGTGATTGCCTTGCTCATGTTGATAGCCGCCTTATGCTGCACGCTCTCCGTCATCATTTTTGGAGCCATGGGGAACAGAGAAGGATGGATGCCAGATCCTCTTCACAACTACCTCTCTTGGTCATTTGGACTGGGAGTGGTCGGAGCTTTCTTCTTGTATGTGGCTGCCATTCTGTTTTATTCGGAGTGGCGCCTACTGAAGAAGAGGGAAAAGCGCGAAGACTACGAACGTCCTTACGTTTTCACGCAGACTGGAGTCAAAGATGCTAACTGTTAGTGTGCATATTTTTCCACGTTTTGTCAATTGCACAGAATCTCCGTCCGATGCAGAATCTCTTTATCTAAGCAGAATTTATTGTCCAAAGAATCTACTTACTAGTTGATTTAGCTATCTCTAAGCATACATTCTATTTCACTCTGCACACAAAACATGCCATTATAATTTTGTAATGTAATAATGCATACTTGTCAATTGTTATTTTGTGTAAAATCCAATGTTTGCTCTATTGTGTTTGATATTTGATTCTTTATGATATATGGATCTATAAGTATATTATGGAAGTTTAAAAATAGAGAAACATCTTAATAAATACCAAAGTGTTCATTCCTTCTACTTGTTGAGCCTATGTCATCGTATGACACATGATGATGCAGTTTTCGTTGTAAAGCACATAAGATGCAATAGAATGCATGTTTAACGATAGCTGTTGATTTTTATATATATAATTAAAGTACAATAGCTAAATGAAGAAAATATTTTCTCAATAGTCTGATCTGACAGGGAAAAACTTTTACATATATATATATATTATTATTATTATTTTAATTTTTATCATTCTAGAACCAGAAATAGGATATTTTTTGAAAAGATTAATCTTGTATAACGATTGATACCATTGCATCCATTATCATACTTTCATCAATTTATATTTTATTGTAAAGATAATTCATAATTAAATAAATTTTTAAACTGTATTTTAATGTTTTTATTTTAGAATTACAACTTGTAATAATAATAAAATATTTTTTTTATATATTAAAATATTTGTGTATGCGTTAAGTTAATTAAAATTTTAAATCATTTGGCATATTTTTTATTACAACTGTTTATTTTACAATGATATTAACATTAAATTATTACAGTAACAAGATGCATTCACATTTTGATGTTAATTTTATAGCTGTGGGGTGTATGTAATTATATGTACAAATTAAACTATTCTGATATTAAAAGTGATTTATTAAAGACAATTTATTTAAAATTGCTGAGGAAATTTGCAATTGGAAGTTTATGTTTGGAGTTTAATGTTTTAACAGTAAAATGTTAATTGATTACTACAGATAATACCATTGCATGTGCATATAGAGGATCCTAGTGTGAAAACATCACTTCAAAAATTTTACTTTAAAACTAGATATGATAAAACAATATTTTCACTTTGTTGGAAATTAAAACTGTAACATAAATGTTTATGAATTAATGTTAAAGCCAAGTATGATAGCAATATAATAAGTTTATTCAAAATCTTTTTTATACGATTTGTAAATGTATTTATATGAAAATCAATTAATTAAAGCTCTATTTCAATACAGCTTGTTAATAAATAAACACACAAACTGATCCAAATGAGATCTTAAATTTTCAGAAAATAAAATAAAGATTCAATGTTAACTGCACAACAAACTAGTTCGTGAAAGATTTATTCATAGATTTATTTTGTATACAAAACTTTTTTAATGTTAATATGTTAATTTTATCATCATCATAAATATAAAAACCTAATTTTCTCACATCCAAAAGAACTAATCCTGCTTAGCGAACTTCTGATGGAGATTTTTGCAGTCAAATAAATGCTTTTGAATGTGAATGGTTTGCCGTAACATGAGCAGAAAAACATCTTCACATAACAAATGGGTTCTTGAACGAGTTAAAGTAATAGAGATGGAAACATATAACAAACCAACATACAGTTTTAACTGAGACCAACATTAAGAGATACTATTGTCCTTTCTTTTTCTGTAGTACCATTTCCCTTAAATTGTTTTCACTTTCCTTTAAACTTCTTTCCAAATAAACTTTGTTATTCTAAAGAAAAAGAAATAAAATTTTTTAAAATCACAAGCTTTATTTTCAAGCTCTAAAGTTAATATTTTTGTCTAATTTCAATTTAATTTACTAGAATTGTAGATTGACCTAAATATGGATATTATTATGCTCATAGCATCATGCACCAGACAAAGTAATTTGTATCATACAAATAATTTATTCTAAAATTAAAATGTTTTAACTTTCAAACAAACATGCAGCAAATCATAATTTTGTCATACATATCTACAAAAATTATTTTATATAAAATAGATTCATAGATTTATGAAACATTAGATTCCCATAAATCTAATTGCATTTCAATAAGGTATTTGAGTAAACTATTAATGAACATTTTAAGTTTTCTAAAGATCATTCAAGTACTTTGATTTAAAATTCACTGTTATCAGACTGAAAAATTTTTTAAAGTATTATTGTAGGTGATCTAAATTAGAGCAATTAATTAACAAAGATATATTTTAAGTTAAACAATTAAAAGTTGAGAGTCACTGCATATTATTGTTTATGATCCAGTCACTATCCTTGAAATGAATGAATCATAAATAATAAATGGAACTGTTTCAAACTAGTCTATATCTAAATCTAAACAAACGAAAATGATTGTTCGCTATGCTCTTTTAGGCTGTTTGACCAATTTCTATGAAACTCAGTAGTTACATTTACATACATCTAACTTAGATAATGTCATACATACCATCCCAAAATATTTAATAAATTTCTATATATCAATTTTTGTTCATGTTTGATTTGCTAGCTTTACATGTAGTGCCATCTATTGACAAAAAATTTTTAAAAATGATACACTAAATATAATTCATGCAAAAGAGAATTTAATTAAAAAATTTATATTCACTTAATTACTGCAACAACAATGTAGCGGGAAATAGACACACTGTATTATTTGCCACGGGTAGCACATAGCACTTGTGTGTGTTCAATCCAAAGTATTACACTGTGAAAACCATATTATTTAATTTTCCACATCTAACAACTCTGGTTTTTTCATTCCTGATTGTATGTTCTTAACTGTAATAAATGCTCACCATAGCAGAGTGGATAGAACCATCTAACACTGGTTTGAGTATTACCAACAGGCTGGGCCACATGGAGTTTTCTGGCTTTCTTTCTGAAATGATACCTAAATAGGGGACCAGTTTCTCATAAAACTCCTCTCAGGAGGCATCCCCTTGGCAAAATTGAAAATATGATATCTTAAATTTTTTAAAGATATATTTTCAATTCCTGTCTACTTGACCAATGAAATTGTGCCATTTCATACCATCTGAATTTTGCAATAAATATGACAACCTTAAACTCTTTATATCATTTTTGTTTTAATGTTTGTTGTTCTTATTTTCTGACCAGGCAATGCAGGGCTTATCTTCTAGTTAATATATATTTGTTAACTGACTTTTGGGCCACTCTATCAAACAAATAGTAGAAATACATCTTAAATGTAAAATTTAGACATTTCAACATAACTTGTTAAGTTCCTCAAACATAAATCTAATTCAAACTTTTGTTTTTGATGTAACAAGAAAGAGGCACAAGTTATGGATTGGAATGTAATCGATTTTTTTACATCAATTGAAAGCTCACATTGAGCTGATTACAGAAATACAAAAATTTAAACAAAAATGTTTTAACTTTCAAACAAACATGCAGCAAATCATGATTTTGTCATACATATCTAAAAATTATTTCATATAAAGTAGATTCATAGATTTATGAAACATGAGACTAATAAAAATTAGATTAAAAATTAAAAATAACAAATATTACTTTCGTTATTTTTAATTTTTAATGGGTTCTTTTATTACTGTTATATATGGGGAGAAACTTTCCTTGCTTTATGGCATTACCTCTATTGTGTAAATAAAATAATAATAATAATACTGTAGGATTACACATGATTAGGGCTGAGGAGGAGAAGCAACATCTGTAGCCCTAGGGCCCAAGCGAAATCTGCACAATAAAATTTTAATTACAATGTCTAGAATATGAATATATGTAATTTCAAATGCATAAAAGGAGAAAAAAGAAATATAATAAATTAAGAGTGTTGTGTCAGAAGAGATAACAGAACCAATAGATTGTACTCCAAGTTCCTGTATATGATACATGTTAAAATAAAGTAGCATTAATAATAAAGATTCTTTATATTAAATTTGAGATTCTCTAATGGTAATTAATTCAAACATCTCTGAGAATGTATTTATTTATTTACACTACTGACTAGATTTATTAATATAAAAATAGATATTATCTTTCAAGTACATATAGTTAACACATTTAGTCAACATCTTAATGATTAAAGAAACAGAACAGTTTTAGCAAGTTTTTTCTAACCTTCAAAGAAGTTAGTTACTGGTTCTTTATAATGAAATGCAAGCAATCAATCATAAAGTTGGGAAAAAAGGAAGAAGGAAGTTCTCACAAGGGAGAACACAAAAAGTTAAAAAACTTTACTGGTTAAAGGAAGAAAAACTTTTCAGATTTAATAAAATCTAACAAATTTCAATAGTAATGCTAATTAAAACTGTACTTTGGTTTCTTTTGATCAATTTTTTGAATTCCCAATTGGAGTAAACTGAATTTTTAATGATTCCTTTATTGCATGACCCAATGAAATGACTTTATTAAGATTTTTCAATAATAATACAGTCAAACCTGTCTATAACCCCAAGGGACCAAACAACTCTTCCATGGTAGAAAGGTTTCCTACTATAGGGATCCCTTGATTAATGCAATTAATAAATTTCTCAATGTTACTCCATGTATCAAAATCAACAAAAACAATAAAAGGATAAAAAAGTAAACAAAAGCATTTTTTTGTCTTTATTACTGCAGTTTCCTCAGTTAGAATATTATAGTAGAATAATATAAATATATAGTAGAATAGTATATAGAATAGTATATTATATAGAAAAAAAAAAATAGTAGAAATAATAATTTCTTTCTTGCTTTCTTTTAAATTAAATTTTTTCTGCCGTTATAAATTTATCCTTATAACCATTTACAATATAAAGTTGTAATTTAATTGAAAATATTTACAAATATATCTTTAATTTATATATTTTGTGTATATTTTAATTTTATTTTGGAAATTTATCATTAAAAAGACAGTTTTTCTTTAAAATTTAATGCAGCAAGCAACTGACTAGACTAAATAAACAACATGTAATTTATAGTCATTACAACAGTAATGCAGTAATGCTGGGCAAACTGTATCCTTGTATTTGTTTAGTGTTTCCAAATAATGACAATATTGATCTTTACAGATAGAATTATTGATTTTCTGCTGTAATATAGTAACAAAAACCATAATAGATATTTTCCATATATGATTTTCAATTTATAAATATGAAAAATGATATGAAATATTTGGATTACATTAAAATATAAAATTTCTGGTTCTTCTTTTATTACATTCGATTATTATTTTTATATATTTAAATTAATAAAAGTTTACAAATATATATCTGTATCAGTGCTGTTTATATATGCTTTTTGTAACTTAAATATATAACAATTATAGATTATTACTCTAATTAAAACTAATTTTTAAATAGTTTTATTACTAATTTATTTTTAGATATTAAAAAAAATCATTTTACAGATTGTATAATTCCTTCTATCATATCTTCATTTAGATAATCTATAAAAGTTTATAATCCATAAATTTAAAAAACTGCTATAAATTGCTGAAGTAAAACCTTTGTATAGGCTTTGCTTCAGATCTAACCCACATCTGTTTAGACCAGTGTACACTGATAAGTGTTCTACAAAGGATCGAAGATGCCCCATATCTCCAAAGACATGCTTAATAATTTTGAACAAATGAAAAACTGTTTAAATATAGTACACTTAAGTACTATACAATAAATTGCAAACTGCAATATCAGCAGATAAGTTGTCATATAGCATAATCTGTATCCAATTTCAAGTAATTTTTTTTTTTTTTTACATATAACATGAAAGATTTTCTGCATGAAAATAAAGTAGAAACTTACTTAAAAGCATCAAAACATATATAAGATACTAGCTGTTACCCGCGACTTCGTCTGCAGAGGTTTTGCAAGCAAACCCCTTTTACATTCAATATTTCAATAACCATAGTAATTGTTATATAACACCTACCGCTGAAGAGAATTGCCAAGAATCAAACAAACTATTTTCAATTTGATCAATTTTCTGGAACATTTACAATCGTTCTATAATTGAACCAATATGCAATAACAAATTCGAATTTAAAATGGTTCGAACATTTTTGAAATCGAAATAGATAAAAATATTTATAACAATGTCTGAAATGTTATCAATTTAATACATCTAAGTACTCAATAAAGACTAAATGTAGTTGAAAACAAAAAATCACACCTAAAATAGTACAGTAGAAGCCGTTCTTCCGGTTAAGCCTTAATCCTCTCCCTCTTTCCCCTGCTTGGGAATTTCGAAAAATCCCTTCTTAGTGTGCGTTTTCATAAAGTACCCTAACTGTGTACCAAATTTCACTTCTTTAGGTTCAGCGGTTTGCTCTGGGTGATGATGAATCAGTCATTCAGTCAGTCAGTCAGGACAAGTAATTTTATATATTTAGATTTTGGAGACAATCCATAAAAAGTATGAACCAATCTTAAGATTTTTCAGAATAAATTCAAAAAGTACTTTAAAATGTTTGTTCCCATTAATTTAACATATAGTTTTGCTCTATTGTGGATCATTTTTGTTTAGAAGTTTACTCCTCCAACATTCTTTTATTTTATTCATGCAATAAAATAATACAGTATAATCTCTGATTAGCAGACACTGTTAAGACTGAGAAGTTTGTCTGCTACAGTACATGCTGGTGGCCATATTGTATTTTAACACGGTCATTATAAAGTGAAGAATATGATAGATTATGAAAATATCAAATTTGTGTCAGGAATGTGAATATATCAAAAAGTATACATAGCATATATAATTGAAATATATAC